TCTGTTAAGGTGTTTACTAGCAAGAGCTGTTAAATCAACTTTTGCCATACATCAAAATAAGCTCAGTGCACTATGCAGGTGTATGTTTAGACATTTTTGAAACTTGTCTCTCTTTTGTAGGTACCGAGGAAATGTCACTGTCATAGTATTTTTCACATCTATTTTGTCCTTCATCTACCATCCTGTTTTTTTTTTGAAGCTCCAACAAGTGTTTCATGAATTATTAATTATCCTTTAGATTAAAATACAACACTGATCTAACCTTATTATTTGTGTTATTGCCTATCTTTTCATACACTTAAAAGTTTTGCATAAAAGTAATCTTGAATGTAAGTATGAAAACTCATTAAAAAACCTAATGATACTTAATTTCTAAAACTGACTATGTTGGGATTTATTTTCAAAAGTTAAAATATTCAGATTTTGACTCCAGTACACACATTCTTAAAAAAAACGACTTATTTGTGTTCTGAGTGACTAGAAACTAGTTTTTAAAACAATGTGAATAACAATTTAACTGATGTTAATCCTTGTGATGATCAATGACCCTAGACAACTGCAGAAAATGTCAACAATTTTGTATAATGCCTCAGAAAAACCAATAATTTCTAAACATAGTACCAATGTCTTTAAGCTTCAGAGCTAATAAATGAGTTCCAAACATGTTATACTTAACTGAGCTTTATACAAGTAGAAGTTTACAAGATTTATAGAATTATAATATAATTATATCTTCTTGGAAGCATTTTATGGATTTTGGCAAAAACATAATAGCAAAGGCTTAACTTTCAGATTATTCATTTGCCTAAAGCAGCAATATCTATGTTGATGTGAGCATGGTAAAACCTCAAGTGCAACAGAGAACAATGACCCTTCTTACAAAACAAAAGGATAAGGTGACAACAATCAAAATAAGCTCACATAGTTGGGGGCCAGTAACCATTGTCAGAGACTTGTATAAAGCAAACTCTATCATCTAGAATGCCATGTTATAGTAGTTATATACGAGCCATTCACTACTTTCAACTGTGCCCTAAGGAATAGCAGCTAAAGGCACTCTTGTTGGATGAGTCAACATTCACTCTTTGCTTCAAATGAACTGTCCCTAATGATATACATATTCAAGGAAGTATACACCTTGTTTCAACTGTATTGGGTTCAGGCAGTTTAATTATGTGGTAGTTACTGGTATATACTTGGTTTAGTCATTGCATTTAAAGGTAATATAATAGCTTCTGCAGAAACAACGTACAGTAGGACATCAGGTTCATCTTACAATATAGCACTTTTTTAAAAACCAACTAGAATTTTACAAGATGTCAGTGCACCTATTTATTCTCTAAGAATTGTTTCCAACTAGTATGTAAAGTATTAGTGAACTTTCTGGCTCCTCACTCTTGGTCTGTCAATCACCATACCATTATGTAGTACTCTTGCAACCCTTGTTCAACATGGAAGACAGAGTAACCAGAAAGCCATGTTGAACAAGGGTTGCAAGAGTACTACATAATGGTATGGTGATTGGCTGGCTAAGACAGAGTAACCAGAAAGGGCCTGCTAATCACCATAACATTATGTGATATTCTTGAAACTCTAGTTCAACGTGTCCTTACGGTTCCGACAGTTGTGAATGAATTGGAAACACTTCTTATTAAGGAGTGGTGTAATATGCCCATTGAAGTCACCCAGCCATTTTCTTTTTTCGTTTCTGATCCCAATTAGTACTGTCTGAAAAGCTCCTGGCTATTCAGTGTCATATTAAATCGTTTTGGACTTCTGGTTAATTTTTTATTTGAACTATTGTGTGTGCGTTCAAAATGTAGAGTGCGCTCTTGTGTTATGAATATTGATCAGTCATAGAATCTCGAAACGTACTGTTTATTACGTCATCTCGTGACTTCGTATGAACGTGTGATTAAAATAGGTTAAATGGAACGTGAAGTTTAACAATAGGTTAAAATTCATTTGTTTAACTGTAATTTCTCACTAGTCAAACATATACTTAATATAATGTTGTAAATGTTACGCTCATTTACACTCTTCGAGCCTTTCATATCTTATTTTAACCGTAATAGTTATCTTTTTTTTTTATCATTTCGTGGTACATAATACCACACTAAAGACAAAGATTGAATTAGTCGATGATAGTTCGGTCATTTCGAAAATTCCAATACCACCGGTTACAAACAAGAAGTTACAGTGTTTGTGTGTGTAATTACAATGTGTTGCACCATCATATAAGGAATGACTGGGCACTCTTTTGAAACTTGCTTAGAATTACAACCATGCACACACACACACACAAATAAATAAACCTAGGCACTGTTCCAAATCACATTCAAATAATTATGGTATTTAATTAGTTTGCAGTAAACTTACAAAAGTCAATTCCATTTAATTATCATCCATACGAAGGAACGTTTGTTAATTTATCTTGATGTTGCATCGTGCTTAAAAGCACTTCGTTTCAGCAGCTGTTCACGGTATCAGAAATGAACAGTTAGATTTTACTACATGTATATGTATGAAAATAATTCTGATGTTGCCATCTAAGGAAAGAGTTGTTTGACGATGAACAAATGATACAAATTTTCCAAGATACGTGACTATAATTATCAAACCGTACTTTTTTATTGATTAGGTATTTAGAAAGTGCTTTAAATTCAAAGTTATTCCTTTTTTCTCTTTCTACCAGATTAATTTTGCTATGTAGTGGGGGAGGGGGATAGCTTGACGCAGTCTTTTCAAATCTGCTGTACAAGGAAAAGATGACACTGCATTAAACTATTTCCCCATTTTTACTAGAACTTTGCTCTTTAAGCATGAGGTGTTGCAATTTAAGATCACCCCCCTACCCAATGGAATCATTAAGTCGTACGTGCAACGCGCCAGATTTAGTAACGAGCGTTGGGAGACCTCAAGGCCTCCACAGTTGTACACGGTCTCCCGGGCCATTTTTCTAGGTAAGAATGCCTCCAGCAGTAAAATGTCACAGTGTTGATCCACTGTTCACAGGCTTGGCGAACGATAATTTTGTTACCCGCGGTGTACGTAGTGGTTGGTCCAGGCTCATGGTCTGAGGTAGGAAGTTTTTTTTTAACTTCTTCTTCTCCAGGATCGTTACTAATACTTACCCCTCCTCCCCCCGCAAAAAAAAAAGAAAGAAAGAGAAAAGATTTAAAATCTTTATGAAATTGGTGAACTCTTGTACGTGTTGTTGTACAACACATTTATGACCAAATTAGTTATTATTAAATCGAGAAATAGATATATATATTACTATACCAAGAAATATATGGTAATAGGGGAAGCAAAATTATGTCAGGGTTTTAAGATGTATGATGAACTCCAGCTACTTAGGCTTACGGGTACTATACACTTAAAAACCAAACATAAAAAACCCACTAAAAGTCTACTTATAACTACTAATAATGAAATAATTACAATTTAACGTTTTATTTATATCATTTTTTGTATTAAGTGTGTGTAAAATTGTTTGGAAAATACCATATTTTGAAGCATATGCATAGTAAGGAGTGTGTGTTAAAAAGATTTTGAATTTGAAACTTGTATAACTGAAATTACTTTTACTATTCGTAACATGAATATTTTACTGTATTCGTTATAAAATAATTGTAAAATGTAATCCTATTTGTGAAAATACATTTTGTAACCTACACTCATGAATGTGTATCCTTTTCTTTTTGCTGTTTTTAGTTTTTAAGAATCCCTTCACCCAGTTGTATATTCTCACGTAAATATATGTCAGCCACATGACTTCTGAAGCTTACATGAAAGGTTGAAGGTTACAGAAACTATTAACTGTTGAACAAGAGTTGCATTGATTTGTACAGTGGAGTGATTTGGGGATTCTTTTTTCTCCTAATATATTTTGGTTGTAGTAATTTAAAAATAATAATTTTTGGTTTGTGTAATAAATTTGGGAAAAACTATTAAAATAACTTTGTGTTATAGTTTTGAGTAAAAAAACAATAACCTTGCTTTCCAAAATTAAATGTAAATGATAATCTATCTGTTTTTATGTGGTTAGACAGTTTTTAATGAAAAAAGATTTTAACTTAATTTTTAAAGACAAATACTAAAGAACTTTATTACAACTGTATATAATCATAGTAATCCTATACATTATTTTTTCTTATTATTTTGACATATTATAGTTTAAAGTTTCAAACATAGGCATCAGAGATGGGGGGATGGGCCATTGCCCACCCACTTTTAAAAACTGGAGGTTAGATTTTTTTGCAAACTTTCAACAGTGAATACTTGAAAATTGATATAACTCTATGCATTTCTGTATTTATATTGTCTATTGATGAGTTGTCTCTGCCTGGTAGGAAATTTATATTCAGAATCTGAATAAAAATTCAAGCAGGAGGCAAAAAATCAACAGTTAGGGCAAACATATTGATTTATTTTTTCATTATTTTGTCCATTATTTAATTATATCAAAAGAAAATTTTAAATCTTATTATTTCATTTATAATTTCACTTTGGGGAATATTTATAGGAATACATCGCACATAATTTTTCAAAAGCCGTTTATCATTTCACGCTTTTTTGTGACTCAAACTGTATATGATCATGTTATGGACATCTGAGAATTAGTTTAGGTGTTTACTAGGGCAACAGTTAACATATTTAACTAGCTCAGAAGTTTTTCCAAATTTTTTGTTTAGCCCCACCCCACCCCCCACTTGTAGTTTTTCTGCTTCTGCAAATAAGTAATGTATGTATGAGCCCCCTAGAGGCTCAGTGGTAAATCTTAAGGCTTGTAACACTAAAATGCAGGTATCAATACCTATGATGGGCACAACACAGCATTGTGTTGCTTTTCGCTTAACAGCAAACAAACAAAGGTTGTTCAGAAAATAACTTGCAGTGGAGTTCATTGTGGTCAGATATTGATGTATAAAGGCACGGGAATATATTGTTACAAAGATTTAATTCTGTGTATGTTTTTTTTATAATATCTCCTCTAGTATTTTCAAAAGGACAGTGTGAAACCGGACCTTATCGCTTCCTGGCTAAACATGGAGGGTTTGTATGGATTCTAACACAAGGAACTGTCATTTTTGAAGGCAATTCATCAAAGCCACAGTGTGTTGTGTGTGTCAACTATGTTCTTAGGTATGTCTTTGAAATATGTAATATTTAAACATCATACAGTTTTGGTTCAGTTACATGCATCTTTCTCTACTGAGCTTGACTGGAGCATTATATATATATTTCACAGTGTGTGCTATCTCTCAAAACATTAACAAAGATAAATGCTACCTATGTATGTATTTACATGTTTGTAACTTACTAAAAGTTTTATCATTATTTTTAACCATTATTTTTACTATGACTTAATACTATTTTTACAATGTATTTGCAGGTATGGTCTTGTTGTTAAATATTATTCATCAACTTCTCATTTCTACACTGAAAGAATTGTTTACAAGGAGTTCAAGACTTTAAGATTTAGATCATTTATTTGTGAAATTAAAAAATAAATACCAAACTTTCACTGCACAAGTTTGACTGCTTTTGTTAACGCTGTTCTGTTTGAAAATGTTATGTATTGAATGTTTGTATGTCATGTATTTATGTACAGATACCAATGTTTAAAGTTTTTCACTTGTATCTTTTTTTGATAGAAAAAAGGGATAAAATTTAATTATTATTACAGCTTTTTTAACTGTTTAGAAACAATTGAGCAAAATTTAACAGATGTGGAATTGTTTCAAATTTTTAATTACAGTTCAAAAAATAGCTAATGGAGAAAGCTTACATTGATATTTTATTGTGTTGTCCTGGTAATTACTAATAAAATCTTCGATACATATTTTGGTTGTTTTTGAGTATTATAATTTGTAGTATTTATTATCAATAGATGTGGAAAGCTGCTTGCTAATATTAAGAACTTTCACATTTTACCATATCATTTTTTTGTAACCAGTCTTGCTAATGCTAGGATGACTTAAGGTAAACATGTTCTTGTATTTTGTCCAAACCAATGTTAGTTCTTTACACCACAGTTTTTCAAATGTTTAAATGCATTACATATAGGAAGAAAAAAATAATATTTTTTCTATTATCTTACATCCGAGCTAAATCTCAACTAAGGACAAATTCACTAATTTTTATTAAATTTAGATTTAGTTAAAAAAATATCCAAATTTAATTTTTCTACAAAAATCTAATAAAAACAATTTTTTTATGAAATATATATATAGTGGGATAGAAAATTCAGGTGAAGTGGTGTCAGAAGAACAAGTGAGCAAGCAGCAAGAAACTCTACCAGAAGCACCTCCTTTGAAAACCTCTACAGATAAGCTTTTTTGTGTACGCACTGAAGATATGACAAAAGGCTTCCTAATGTTTTCAGATGAAAACACTGGTTTGACAGGTAGAGTACTGTGGATGATTTTTCAGTTCACATTGTGTAGTGTTTTGTGTAAGAAGTATGTAATATTTCCTTGTGGTAGTAGCTTTTGTTTATTATGTATATCTGTGGTTGTAGATAACATTTATAAAAAAAATTCACTTGAGCCTTCAAGAATTCATTCTGCCTACCTAAATGGCCAAGTTTTGAATAATAAATTTTTTTAATGTAATCTTTGATACAGAAATTATGAGGAAACAGTTGAGCTCTTTAATTTATTTCCTGGAATAGATGTGTAGTTTCAAAAGCTGTTACTTAATCACTAACTCTGATGTTTTACTTTGACTCTAAATAGAGTAATTTCATGCACATCAGCATCTTACAAGTATTTCAATGAGTTTTTTAAAACACTTGAAACAGAATTAGTTTTCTGAGGTTAGTCTTGCAAGATTAAGAAGTCTTATTCTTGTGGCATCATTCATAGCCTAAACAATTGTACATTCCTATTTGTAAAAGTTTAATCAATTTCAGTAAAACAACTGGATTTCTTTTGTTTGTTGTTTTTGACAGATTTTATGTTTCCAGTTGGTAATTGGTGAAATAGCTACTTTTGCTGGAATGGTATCTTACCTCTACTCACAAATATGGCTATTCTTGTTCAGTGCTGCTCTCTATATGCAAAATTGTTTTGCATGCCACAAGCCTCGAAACTTCCACCTACCCCATGATCCATCTGATTCACAGCATCTTCGCATTTAAATCATCATGTCACAACCCTACACCAATAGGAGTGCTGCACAGTCTCATGATGCATGTGGCTTCCTCTAATCGATTCTACTTAGCTATCACTTCTCATTAGGCAGTTATTGAGTGCAGACATGTTTAACATTGTGTTGTGTTTCGTGCAATATTTTCTTTCACTTTGCAAAATAGTAATTTAATGTTTTTTATTTAATTTCTGCAATTTGTTCACTCTAGTTTTTTAACAAGTCTTTTTAATTTTATTTCGGATTTCCAAAGTGTGTGTCATGATTTCCACATACTATTACTAATGCTTCGCAGGTCAGTTTTTTTGTTTATTTAATTGATTTGCCTGTGGGTCCCAGAGGTTGAATTTGCGGTCCTATCCAAGGGATATTGTTGCTCATCTCTCCAACATAAGTTACACCTCTGTGCAGTGGGTCCCAGAAGTTTAGGTTGTGTGCACATGTGTTTGAGCTTCTGTACAATCCCATTTCAAGGATGATGTTGCATGAGGCAAATGTTGTCCCTCTAGTGCTCCATTTCAGGGCTATTCATTATCTGAGGCTGATGTTACATTTTGTGGAGCAAATCTGATTGGTTTTGGATTTGACAAGAACCACCACATTGGAACATCTTTTCTCACCATTTTTTGGACGTTGAGTTCCCAGATGACTGGTTATGGATTTGCATACATGTGCCCTGTTTTGTAGATCAATATGGAAATTGTCTCCTATGCTACTCAACTTCAAGTGAATATGGCATAGACCCTCCTCCTACCATGGGTTGGATTATATATACTTGATGTTGTATGGTTTTAAACTATAGTTGACCTGCTAGATACGGTATGATGTGCCCTAGCCATTCTACACCATGGGGCACATCTATTTTAGCTTTCCCCACCTTCCCATTTGTGGAAGAAGATCTTACATTCAGTTTTCTCTTCTTCTTTGGATGTGTTCTTCTTATTTTCTACCTGTGTATGAGACACCTATTCCCACACAGAGCAAAGAGTATACCCGGTACAGAAGTGGTGCATTCTCCCATCAGTGTTCCTCTCCCAATGGGGGTTCACACTTTGTGGGTGTTCTTCAGATGCTTTCGAAGAATACTTATCCACATTCCTCACACCAGTCCCTCCACAGGGTCAGTGTGGGATTCTAGCTATGTGTCTGAGAGGAGGTAAGATACCATATCAGAAATTATAATTTTCCTACACTGAAAATTTATTTTCAATAGGTACTTACCTCTCTCACTCTTCCAACCTTTCCTCCCCTCTTAAAACTGGTACTTGTTTTCTGTCTAATCTCAAAGTGATAGTTAGGTAGAATTGAATAGAGGGAGTTACATGCATCAGGAGGCTGTGTTGCACTCCTATTGGTGAGGGTTGTTGCATGATGATTGACATGTGAAGGTACTGTGAATCACATGGATCATGGGGTAGGTGGGAGGTTCGAGGCTTGTGACATGCAAAACAATTTTGCATACAGAGAGCAGTACTGAACAAGAATAGCCATATTTGTGAGAGGAGGTAAGTACCTATCGGAAATAAATTTTCATTGTTGGAAAATTATAACTTACAATATTTAGGCCATTTTTTTATTAATAAAAACATGGAAGTTTTGTTAAGGATAGAAAATGCAATTACAATGTATAACGTATATTTTCAAATTCATGTAAAATATACTGTGATTTATCATTACTAAATTATGTTCATTAACTATGGAAAGCCCCCACCTCCCAATCTAGTAAGTCTGAAAGCTTATAATGCTAAAAACTGGGTTTTGATATCTTTCGTGGGCACAGCAAAGATAGCCCATTGTATAGTTTTGTGCTTAATTACAACCAAGCAAGTAAACCATGGATGGGCCTATTTTCATTATCAATGAAAATTAAGAGACTAGCACTTGAAACTAAATAAAACAACTACAACATTAAAAATACATTATGGTGGCAGTATATTTGTCAAGTTGTGGAGTGTTTGTTTAAATAATAGTGTTTTGTCATCACTGACTCTGAAAATAAATAAAACAACTACAACATTAAAAATACATTATGGTGGCAGTATATTTGTCAAGTTGTGGAGTGTTTGTTTAAATAAATAGTGTTTTGTCATCACTGACTCTGAAAATAAATGTTGGTTATCTCTTGCTTGTACCAAAGGAATATTGTCTAATGCTGTTTCTGTTAAGCTGTAATCCAAAATTTTTTGGCTTAATGTTGATTTTTCTGTTGTTAAGGAAAACACAAGTCTTGGAATTTTACAAATTAACTTAACTTCTTCCAGAGTGCCAGGATGAGCCTGAAGACCTGACACATCTGGCACCAAAAGTGGCAGATTTATGCATTCCTCTTGAATGCAGTCCTTACTCGTCAGGTATGTTGTATTAACTAAAGGCCAACATTTTGTAGTTGTAGTCAGCTTAAATTTTCTGAAAATTCACTCTGCTAATGATAACATAATAACCTTAAGAAAATATTGTTAGTGGTTATAGCAGTTTATTTTTATGTATGTTAATCTTGAACATTTTATAATTAATTGTCTTCTGTAAATATGTTAGAAGTGCAAGCAAGTCCAAGAATTTATTGCATTAGGTTTGTAATGAGATACATATTTAATGAAATGCCTACTTGTTTATTGTTATTTTTTTTGTATGAAATGTTTATCGAAGCTTGCATTCATTTCACTTATTTGAGATGAAAATAAAATATAAGTAAATTAAATACTCTATGAACAAACTTAAACCTTCACATAGTTTAATATCGAAGATCACACATTTTACAAGATTGGCTTGTAAAAATGAGAGTTTTCAGTAATCAAATTATTTTGTTTTAATGTCTAGAGGCAAATGCACTGGCCTTGAGTCTTGTACTGACTGCATTTTCCTTGAATTTTAATATAGGTGATATTTTTGGTATTGATTAATGTTTAATCAATAACTTGCAATGTTTCAGGAAAGGTGTAGCAGTGTCAGAATCAATAGTACTAAGACAAAAATAGAGAAATACGTATTATAAGTGAAGTATATCGTGAATATTGACATGTATTAATAGTGGTAATATGTATCTTTTAATAGGTAATAGGTATCTTTTAATTATGTGTGTGTTTAAGTAGTTAATTCTTATGCTTTTTTTGTTGCTAATAATAAAAGTATTGATTTATTTCACATTGTATTTTTGTAAAAAAAATTTGTTTTTTATCCTGTTATCTCAGTTATTATAAAAACAAGTTTATGGTTTCCTGAACAGATATATTTGGTGATGTCTTAATTGTTGGAGACAACAAGTTTCTACCGGAAGAGAATTTAGCATCTGAAGAATCCTCCTCTTTAAGTGGTCGTAGCAGTCCCCTTAACTGTGATCCATTTCTCAAATGCAAGGAAGCTTCTTTGTGTTCTCCATTTTCTACAGACAATGAAAGTTCTTCTCTTAGCAAGGTACTTTACTTAGTACCAAAGTACTTTATTTAGTGGCAAGGTACTTTACTTAGTACCAAAGTACTTTATTTAGTGGCAAAGTACTTTACTTAGTAGCAAGGTACTTTATTTAGTGGCAAGGTACTTATTTAGTGGCAAGGTACTTATTTAGTGGCAAGGTACTTATTTAATGGCAAGGTACTTTACTTAGTGGCAAGGTACTTTACTAAATGGCAAGGTACTTATTTAGTGGCAAGGTACTTTATTAATGACAAGGTACTTATTTAGTGGCAAGGTACTTATTTAGTAGCAAGGTACTTTACTTAGTTGGCAAGGTACTTTACTA